ATATATATATATATATATGTATGTATGTATGTATGTATGTATGTATGTGTGTATATGTGTATATGTATATATGTATATATGTATATATGGCATTTAAGTAAGATCAAGACCATGTAAGTCAGGTTAACAGTCTTACTAATACCATTCCACATGCAGTGTTTCCTGCTCTCCGTAAGGACAGTAGTGGTCACTTTAAGCATATTTTGGCCAGATGTAACCAAGGCCTGACTTTACTCCAAGCATGCTCTGTGTGCTAGGATCTCTAATCTAGAGACTAACTTACAAGCAGTATACTGATGTCTGAATCCCAGCATCTAGGAGACACATGTTGTGTATGAAACACACCAAGGATACTTTCTCTTACACCCATTTATCAGAAGGCAAATTAGTACAGTTGTCCCCCGGCTTTCCCTCTACCACCTTTAAGGATACAATACATAACTTACCTTTTTCACACCTTCAAACAAACTACTGGGCTGTGGTCATATTTTTAGCTATGTTGCTTATGTAGGACTTAGATTTGTCTTAAAAATAAAAGCAATGCTGTGTCTGAGTGCAGGCTGTGTTTTAGGAGTTGAGCATGGGAAAGTGAGCAGAAGAGGCAAATCACTCCCCATTCCCACCCTTAAATCCCAAAGTAAGCACGCAGAAAGCAGGCAGGGGGAAAGGGTTTGGGTTAGAGGATTAAAGAAAAGACAATGGGCCATTTGCCACTGAGATGAAAAGTTGCAATGCCAGATAAAGCTGGTCTGGTGCAATGGTTAAAGTGTTGAAATAGGATAAAGCTGGCCCAGGTTCAGATCTCATTCATTCATAAACTCACATGGCTTACGAATGAATAAATTCAGCCTAATCCTCTGGACTAGTCAGTTGTGCAAGTAAATGGGCCCAAAGGAAAGATCTTCTACATTGCTTTGGAGTCTAATACAATAATTTAAAAATTATAAATTAGTAGTATTGAGATACACTTAGGAATGTCTTTATTTACAGGGACCTTTCAACAGGAAGGCATCCTACTGAAAATCTTATATTTCCTCGGTTATCTTTTGCTTTTCATCCTTTTTTTTTAAAACTCTGGTGAACCTTGGCTAGTCACAGAAATAGAAACCGCAGTACAAATTGCCTAATTGTTTGTTTGTTTCATTCATTATTATTGATGAGGCAAGGAAGTTTGCTCCTCACATATTGTGGGAACCATCACATTATTAATTAGATGTGTTTTGAACAAGGTATTTTTTTTTATCACTAAATTACAGTGGCTGCATAAATTCACAGTAAAATGTAAACGGTTATGCAACCACGGTTCTGGCTTGTGAGAAGATTATGATGATTAGACAACCATTGATTGGATTTACATGTAGGCCTTTTTTTTTCTTCTTGTGGCTCCCAAATCACTTGTAAAGTAGTGATGTATTTCCTTCAGGGTTCCTTCCCTTTCCCACCGCCCCCTCTTTTCTTCCCTTTGCTGTGAATGAATAGCCTCCAGACTATAGGTTGATTTGTTCTACATAAGCTTTGCTTTGACTGCTCTCATTATTTGCAGTGGGTATGTTGTACTAAATCATAGGGTAGGGCTTGTGTTTCCTGAGTCGATGACTGAAGTAATTTACATCATTAGGAGGTAAAAGAACAAACGGGTTGCAATTGAGGAGATCTGGAATCAGGATAGTTTTTTAATTAAAAATCAATGTACACACAAAAGACCACTGGATCAGATTGGTACACACACCTCCAAATATTAACATAGTAAGCTTACATATTGCAGTTTAAAAAATGCCCACATTTCAGGTAGAATTACTTAATTAACTTTAAACTGACCTACCAGTTTCATACATCTCTTATGTGGATGAAGATGAAAGATGCTGGCTCTACCTTTGTAGAAAGGACCACGAATAAGTTACTCTACTGGTTAATATTCAGGGGGGAAAAAATCTGAATTACAGGAAGCCTTTGTAAAGGTTATCAGTGAGTTGTTTGTTTCGACTTGTGAGCTAGAACATATGTACGCATGTAAAACGTTTCACAACTGTCTTGACATTTGTTTCTCCACATTGTGGGAAAACCAAATGTAACCTTTAATTACAACCAATGACGGAAGCCAGGTGTGAATGACATTTTCAAAAGGACAGCGTGATTTTAGTGTAATTCTTAGAAGAGGGGCTGGGTAGAAAGTAGAATATTAAAAAAATATATTTCTGTACAAGAAAAGGTAATTCTTGGGAAATTATCTGTAAACATAAAACTTTGGGATGTTGTACATCCCAGCCTAATATTTTTTAATTGTTTACTATGTTGAACTAGATGGAAAGATGTGTTACTTGTGTTGGGGGGGCAGTTTAAGGTAGTGGCTAAGTGTTGGGCTGAGATTAGGAAGACCCAGGTTCAAATTCCCACTCACAATGTGATTTTTGGGTCAGTCACAACTTCTCAGGCTAACTTATCTTACAGAACTCAATTATGTGGCCTTGCATCTCTATAAAACAAGCAGGATGTAAGTGTCATGATAAAGGAGGTAGTCCTAGATTGGGGCTTTGGATTATAAATCATCTCCTGTTGAATTTTCACCATGAAAAATAATTGTGGTTTGAGTAGTTTTATGTCCTAGTTATCAAAAGACTCTCCAGTCCAAGGCAAGGAAGGGAAATCTGAAGCTTTAATGTTGTCCATTAAGGATGAACATCTGGACTACAAAACTACCACAGGTCACAGATTACAATCTTCCACACCTAACCCAGGATCAAGAATTTAGAGACAGGCTTGCCTTAGAACAATGATTAGTTTGAACATAAGAGGGATGATATTCTGTTTTGAATACTAATCTACTAGCAGTTGTTCCACAGCCTTGTTAAACTGAATAGGAGATGAACTGGAGCAGAACTTGAGTGATTATACCCATTAATGGAATGTCACTGTTAAAAGATTGTCAGCTACTGATTCATCTATAAAACTGTAGAGTTTTGTAAAACAATTTTTAAGGGCAGTGGCGTACCAAGGATGGGGTAGTGGGAGCAGGTAATAATGGGTTGCTGCTGAAGATGAGGAGGCTAGCTGGAGGGTTGATGGTGAGTGTGGAGTTGGGTCACTGCTGCCAGTGTGCTAATCACCTGTTTGCTGGTTGGCAGCATAGCAATGGAGACGGAGCTGCCTGTGCTTCTGGGGCCTTGTGGTGCTATTCAGTGAGTGGAGGTGGCCACTCTGGGTGTCAAATGTGCTAGGTATGCCACCGTTAGGCATAGGATAGACAGTCTTTTTGGTTGGTAGGTGCATTGGAAGATTTGAGAACATGTCATGAGCATACATACAACATGGTTTCCATCTGGGCATGTGTAGTCACAGCAATACAAATTCATTAGAAAGGAAGCTGAAGAGGAAACTTCTCCAATCTCTGTGCCTCTCTACCCATCCCTGGGTTTTCTTTGCCACCTCAGTTTACCTCTGTCTTTTTTGGGGCAGTGAACTATTCTTCCAAAAAAGACTAGCTATCAAATTCTCTTCTAAAATGCTTATATGAGATATTCTCATATATGAGAAACCCAGTTTCTATTTTTTGCAATTAAAAGAATCTGTTTATTTGTACGCCTGGTGGGCATTATAGCATCATGGAAGATGTCAGTAAAAACAGTGTTGCTTATGGACACTTTGTTGCTTATTGCAACACAACTACTACAGGAAGATGGCCTCAAGAATTGCTTTCTTTTCCTATTTCTTCCTTCCTTTCTTCATCTTTTTTAATCTTCTCTCCCATTCATCATCCTGCCGTCTCTCTGGCATTATATAGAGCATACAAACAAGAGAGACAGGATGTGCTGTAAGAGCATTCATTATTCCCATTAAGGCTTTTACTAGAAGAAGCCATTTCCTCTGTATCAATAATGTATACATGTACATTTCAAATCCGAAATGAAGAATGCATTTAAAGGTGCTGCATCTGCACTGAAGCTAAAGCCTTTATGTTCATTGGAACTGATTTATACAAGGCCTTTGAAAAGGAATCACTCTATCGAGAAATTTTCTCCAGCTTAGTCTCCTCCAGGAGCAGATTATACTGGCTGTAGTTCAGGGTGTGAGTGGGAGAAAGTTCACCCCACTGGAGACTTAAATGGGCCTTTGCATCTCTCTGATCCAGAGAGGTTTAGAAACTAGCATCCTGTTAATGATCTAGTCTGGTTTCTAGAAGTATTTCTATAATTGTAATATGGTTCAGGCTAAGGTTGTATTTCGATATGCAACATTTTCTTAAGCTAGTAAACTGATATTGGGCTAGATTGCACAGTTAAGGCCTTGGCTCATAGCTAAAACTAGATCATTCCTGGTTAGATTTTGTTCTCTTAAACAAAGTACCTAGCAAACTTGTCATGTATTGAGCATCATTGTATAAACTTGCGTGATGGCCTAGTATTTCCCACCCACCTTCATCACTTTCAATTTCACAAGATTTCACTATTCTCACAGCAACATTTGCAAGGTCAAATGAAGTAATGCCAAAATCTCACCAGATTTGGTGACTGCAAGAAAAAATGCTCATTAAAAAAGTTTAAGTGGGGTATATACTGGTATGGCATTGACCATTCCTTTTTTTTTAAATGCCTAGGAAATACAATTTTCCTGTTTAGGAAAAATTAACTTATCTTACTGAGTTTATGGAATCCAGGGAAGCATTTAATTGATAGTCTGCAGTTATTTCAAACCAGAGTGGGCAACCCATGAGTTTCATGAGGCTTCAAAAGCTACCCCTACACACACACGTATATGTATTTGGCAGTCATTTCCTGAATATTTTCAGCAGGAAACAAAACTGTCAGATAGACTTAACACATCTAAAAAAGTATTTTTAAAAATCTATACCCTGAGGGCCCTCCCCCGGAATCTGAGCTGTGCCAAGCCCATGGATTTTAACAGTTACTGGCAGGCACAAGGCTGTGCAACTGCAGTAGGATAAATGTGTAATATTTTCCTGGTGCCATCCTGAAAATCTCCAAGCATATGCTACAGAGACTGGAGATGCAATGAGTCTAATATAGTTGGAAGAGCTTTCCCGGACATCAGGTTTGAGGAGAATGGCTTCCAGATTTGACATGCGTTTGTTTGGGAGTTTTTTTTCTGTTGTTGCTGAAATTACACACACACACACACACACACAGTTTCAGCAACAACAGAAAAATAAAAATAGAGAAAAAAGGATATCATTCATACACACACACACATGATGTCTTTTGTTTCTCTTTTCTGACTTCAACAGTTGAAAGCTTATCCTCCTAAAGCGGGTGTCATGGGGCTTTATTTGACAGTCTTTTTTGCAAATTTTTAAATTTTGCTTTTAAAACATGAAACTGCCATCATTAAAGCACGTCATCCTAGCCTTCCCTTATTTTTCTCGGTGATGTTAGTACTTTTGAATTTTGTGAGGAGTTCACTGTGAATATGTCGCAGCATTAAGTTAGTGTGCACTTCTTCAGAGATAACTAATTGAAATTCAAATATAATTATTCTTTTCTTCCCCCTTTTTTTTTCTTCCATTAGTTTCAGTTTCCTTTTGTTTGAGACTTTGTACATTTGGCACTTTTAAATTAAAAACAGTTAAGTTTCTGCAAGGCGAAACAGCAGATGTCTGTTTAGGCTTTCCAGTTGATGGGAAGGCAGGGAAGGAAAACTTACTCATACTTGTATAAAAGAAGGAAAAATGGCTATAATTGCAGCTAGTGAAAGGGAGAAGATGAAAGCTTTTAATGGGACAACATCTTAAAAACCAACAATAACTTGCAAATTTAGAACGAGATCCCCACCCCACCCTGAGATCCCTATGATTCTCACCGTGCTGGCTTTCCGCAAGTCCTGAAGACCTGGCCTTGGTTTGAGATGGATGGGGCCCTTGCTGGTTGTGCTTCTGTTTATTTTTTTATTTTATTATGCTACAACCTCTCTCTCTCTCACTTTCTCTCTCTGGTATTGGGTTTTTATAAATGTTTATATTGTGAGCCTCCTACAGCTGGAATCAGGTGGTGCTGAAATTGAATCAAATAAATAAATAAAACGTGTTTCTATTTCCTAGGTAACTATTATGGAACACCCAAACCTCCCAGCCAACCCCTCAGTGGGAAAGTGAATAACGCTGATGCTTTGCAAAACCTCCCGTCAAGTTCCAAGCAGACAACTCCCAAACGAACCAAGTCCTACAATGATATGCAAAATGCTGGTTTAGTACATGCAGAGAATGAAGAGGATGACACCCCTGAAATGAGCAGTAGCTTTACAGGTAAATCAATCAATCAATCATCAATCTCTCTCCCTCTCTCCCTCTCCCTCTCCCTCTCCCTCTCCTTCTCCTTCTGCTTATTAATTGGAGAATTGGAAGAATCACGATCCATGTAATCTGTATTTTTTCTTAAGAAGATTCCTGTATTTAAATGCCCGACTACCGTGGTCAAAATGAAACTAAAGTTTTGTTTTGGAAAGATGTAAATGGCATTCTGTTAGCAATAAGATTTTCTCTAACTTCAAAGTTAAGATTTATATTGCCGCTTTTAAGAGAGTAGTCAGAGCAACCCTAGGAAGTGACCTATAATTTTTTGAGTTTAAGTTATCAGATGGGGTCATGAAAGCCTATTATATTACAGGTAGTCCTCAACTTACGACCACAATTGGGACTGGAATTTCCATCGCTAAGCAATGTAGTTGTAAAGCGAGATTTCATGTGACCACATCACTTAGCAACTGTAATCCCAGCAGTCCCAGTTGCCATCATTAACTGGGAATCATGGGTCATTAAGCAAGTACCCACCCCAATCCAAGCCATTCCGGGCTTGGTCTCTCCCAGCCCCAAGCCTTAGTAAGGTAAGGGACTGCCTCCAACTCCCCCCCACCCGTCTATCTCCTCCCCCATCTCTCCCTTTCTGGCCGTCCTGCACCCTGCCTTGCTAGGTGGCAAGTAGCCCCAGAACCAAGCAGCTCTTGGGCTGCTTGTCACACCCTGGGAAGCCACAGCTACCACAGCCCAGTCCCAGCTGTAGTCGCCCTCACCATCCTGTATTCTGAGACCCTTGCCACCCTGCACTCCACTGCCCCAGCTGACTTCTCCATCTTTTTGCTCCCACTGCTGATGAGGCATGCCTGGCTAGGCTGCTGGGCTGGGCCTGGCTGGGCTTTGGCTGCAGAAAAAAAAAAAGCCAAAGGAAGTCCCAGAGCTGTGGCACACCAAAAAGTGTCGAGCAGAGTGATAATCACAAACACTCCTGTTTGCGCAGAGTGCAGCAAAAACTCCAGGAAAATATTAGCCATGAAAGCAAACACAATC